CCAGAAGAAACATCAGTATCCAGCTGTTTTTACTAGGAGAGAAACAATTCTCCAAGTAGAAAAATTACAACTGTATGTGGTCTTAGTCTGTGGATTGCATTTGCCCTAGGAAGATATCTCAGCATCTTAAGCCACTGTACATTACTTGGGAAATCCAAATCCTGAAAGCTGGCCTTTGTAGGAGACCAAGCACCCACTGATGCTCCACATGGAAGAAAGGTCTGGACAAAAGATCAGATTGCAAGATCAGACTGTAACATTCTGTATTCTACTGCATTCTCCATAGTTGAATATGTTATCATTTTCTTTCTTACTTTCATGTTAAGATTAAGGAACAAGTCAGACAAATCATAGACAATAATTATATACTATGCAATTTGGGACAGGCTGTATTCATTTTGCATTACAGTGTCTCAAAGAATTAAAAAGTCTAAATTATAATCTAATATCAGTATGCAAAGAACAAAACTAAATTTAAACAGCGACAGCAGAATTTTCAGTTTCTGAAAATAATATTACAAAATTGATGTAAATTGAATATCTAATCACTGCCTGTATGCTAGTGCACACACTAAAGAATCTTATTTAAAATCAAAGGGACACGGGAACTACTGAATAGTTTTCAAAGTCTGTCCGGGTTTGTAAGATGCTAACAATCAACAACAAATTTTCTAATCTGATAGCTCACTGACATTTCATTGAAACATCAAATAATTTGTTGCTATGCCTTGGTACCAGTTTGTTAACAGATAAGTAATGGCAACAATATATGTATTCCCTACTTTAATCACAGCTGGCTTTAATTGGAACCAAATTTAGAAGCTATGATATAAATTTTCCTATGGATATCAGCAATTAGTATGAATTTATGGCAACTAGAAAAGGTTGCATAGGATGAGCATGAACAATACAATACCTAGCAAGTTCTTAAAATATGAACAATAAAGATTTCAATGCCACTGCCTTTAAATTATTTTAATGTCATTATCCTTTCCATTTTCTCAAAATGGAAATGCCCTATAACATATGAAATAGGTTAGGGTTACTCATATAATTCAAAAGACAAATGAGCAGAGTTACAACACTTGCATCCCTTTTGTGTCTATTAAGTAACACAAGATAAAAATAGATCAAGTCAGAGAGTGCTGCTGAGTGTTTTGGGGATTTTTCATGCCTTTTGAATTACTGTTCCTTTTCTGTTTGGCTTTTATGGTTCAAAATGTAATTTTTCATAACTGCTTTAAGCAGCATTCAGCAGGAATTTGATCCATTCAACTTTAACTGCTCAACAGCTTTTAAAAATAAATACATGGAATATGTATTGGAAAATACATTGGAGAGTGTTTAATTTAAATACTTGAAGCTAAAGAACAAACAATAATGACCTCAATCATTCTGATCTAATTAAATAAAACAGGTTAGGAAAGCATGTTTATAATGAAACCCTGATATGTTTCCTGAGTCCATTTACTTTACAGAATGCATGTTTCATCTTAAGCAATGTGTTTACTGACACAATTCTAATAACAACAATAGACTCTTCTTACAGATGATGTGTTATATTTAAAAGCAATTGCATACTATGAAACAATATATATTTTAAAGATAAACTTAATACATCAGAAGACTTTCGGTATTCACAAAAAATACTAAATTACCAAAAAAAATCAGTGTGAAAGCCCCCACAAACCATCACATACACACATCTCTGCATAATTATAGAGGAATACAGGAACTCTGACTTGAAGCCTAGCAACAGTATCCAAGTATTAGTTTGTCTGCTAATCAACTACCAAAAACTCACACACCAGCTCAATGTGTTTTAGATATAAAAAACCCCAAAAAACCCACTCTTGCTTCTATCTTCAGAGCTGCGGAAGGACAAGATGTATGGTATAAAACAAACCTTGTTCACTTGAAGAAGAACAACCCATTTCATTTAATCCATCTGAAAATTCATCTCATCACAAAAAACCAAGGCAAAAAAGAGAGATTTAAAAATAGGTGATCCAAATCCAAGGATTATCATCTTGTGACACATTTAGTATCTGCATAACTATATCTAATGAGAGTTTTAGGATTCCTATATATATTATTGTTGTTTTTTTGTACCTACATCCTATATAAGCCATAGTGAATGCTGAATAGCAAATGCTTTCTAAACCTCCTGTGCTCATTTACTCTCAGACAGCTGTAGGCTGGATGAAAACAATCAGGGATTAATTTTCTATTTATCACATCTTTTAATCCATTACTTACCCTTACTTTGCAATAACTAACTGAATGAATGAATGAATAAATAAATAAATAAAGTGGTACAAAAATAACCCTTGGTGTTAGTCTTTAAAAATATGTAACTCCTAGGCAGTTCATTAGGAGTACATTTGTATGACAGCTGTAACATTTCTTTCAAAATAGAAAAAGAGGTGGAACTGCACAGACACAGAACTGAAAAATATTTCTTCGTTCTGAGGATTTTCAAAACGCCTAATAAATAAAGTGTTTGGATATGTTCAATATTTCCTTAAAAAAATCATTTGTGGGCATCTTGGATTAGAATAACTCAAGTAAATTACTGCCGTGATTTTTGCAAAATAAGTCTTTAAGAATATTCATTATTCTTGCCTTAAAATATTATTCTAAACTTGATTCAAAACGATTACTTCAAAAGAATAAATGACATCATAATTTTCATTCATCTTTTAAACATCTGCCAAGTGTACAAAAAATTATCTGCTGATTATCTGCTGAACCTAGTTTAAATAATAAATATAAGGAAATGTGATTCTTACTTCTACTCCCTCAGTGTTATCCTTTCCTGCCTTGCCTCTGAAACCTTTATCACTTTTAAAGGATTTGCTCTTCCAAAATGGCACCACTTTTTGTTAGATGTGAGACTACTGTGAACATCCTTTCCTAGTATTACTGTCTTATGGTAGGAGAATTATGTTTAAAGTTCTTTTTTAGTAGCACCAAACTAAAAACTGGTAGCATCAAACCAAACAGGAATTTGAGTAATTTGTGATTTGATATATGATAATGTCCACATAGTGACTCCCACAAACTGGTCATCAAGTTAGAGCAGTGGTGTGCAACCTTTTAAGAAGGAGATCACCTTTGGCATTTAAAAGCAACCCAAGATCTTCTGTGCACCGCCCCCACTCCTCCCGCACCCAGCAGGTAAGTCTGTGGGGAGGGAAGGGGTGGGGGGAGCAGATCGAGGCAGAGGGAGAAAAATTTATTTGAGGGCGCACCTCCTCAGGAGGTAAGTCCCACCCAGCTGGGGCTCCACTCAACTTACCCCTGCTCCTGCCTCTGCGGCACCGTCCCTCACCCCTTCCCTCCCCCATGGACTGACCTGCTGGGCTGAGGTGCATGCATGTATGCAGGTAGGCACTCAGCCACCCACCCCGGCCTCAGTCGATTCCAAGAGGCTCCAAGATCTACCGCAAGAGGCTCCAAGATTGACCAGTGGATCGAGATCCACTGGTTGGTGACCACTGAGTTGGAGAATGTATTAAGATGCAGAGTTGATTAAGGTTAAGACAGGTGAAAAAAGTAGTAAAATCATCAATGAGGCATGCATGTCAAAGTGCTCAAAAGGAAAATCTTTAATTATTTATTTTTCTTTTATTCTACACAACTTTTTTTCAGGAGCAAAGTATACAAACAGAAAAATTTAATAGTAAATAAACCTCTATGTGCTATGAATTACATTATTTAAAACTACTTACTGAACTGTGTCACTACAAGAATAAATTAAAACACTTAAATTATACCGATTGAATGTTTTCATTTTAACTCCTTCACAAAGTTATAAAACCATAAAGTATCCTTTGTAAACATAAACAGTAATAGGATATGATGTATATTAAAGAAATCCAACTGATTAATTTCCAATTGCTGACTGAACTTTAACCAAGCAGCACAGATTGTAAATGCAGAAAAAAACTAAACTATTCATAGAATAGAACTGTTTTCCATATTTGACCATATTAAATATAGGACTAGCTACAGAATCCGCATGTTATTCTTCTTTATGCAAGGCTCTCCAATTTTGACCACACATCTTGGAAACAGTAGATCAAGAATGACAACATGAGTTTGAAACTTACACTTCCCTAGTTAGATGTTCAAAAACAACCGAGAAGTGGATAATGGAACTCAGGAAAGGGGATAACAAATTAGTTCTCTCCTAGTCATGGGCTGGACATGAGCTAACTTAAACTCCGTGTAAATGAGACTTTGTCTATTCATAGATTTACACTGGTATATCAAGCTTATGCAAATGACTCCATAGACACTCTTATTTCAGTGAGAGAGATTTTTTTAGTTTATTTTAACATTTTCCTGATCAGTTTATACTCAACTGAATTACATTTTTGCATCAGTTTAAATTGGCTTAAAATCACATTTTAAACTGCTGCACCTCTATATGCAATCAAGCTTTGGATCAGCCTTATGGGCCCCAAGGGGCTGTAATAATCAGGGGATTATTACAGCCATTCCCCCTTCAGTTCTTTTCCTGTCTGTGGTGAGAGGACATGGCATGTGGCCAGATGTGCCAGGCAGGTTCAAGGCAAAGATCTCCCTGCATTGAGGTGAACCTGCTATGGACTGGCTATGCTAGTTCTGGCACAGTGTGGGGCTTGTAGTAGAGTGCAAACGCAACTTGAAAGAACGGGAGAATGTGACCCCTTTTGTCTCTTAGCATGTGTCCCCCAAACTGCCTCAGTCACGTTCATAACAATTGTGGTATTTATATCCAGTATTCTTTGAAAAAGGAATACTCTTTGAAAATCATTCAACCTTTTTCCCTCTTGCTTCCAGTTTTATGACATAGAATATATTTTATAAACAATTCTAAGTATCAGAAATCATACTGTATATAAATCTGGACTCGGTGATTCTTTTCAAGATCCTAATTTAGATTTAAATATTTCTAAACTATGCTTTTGAGAACTTAATCATTCTCACAATTTTGTCAGTATTTTACTTACCAATATCTGCTTCCTTGTGATTTTTGATATATTCAGCCAGCTCAAAGTTTCCTGCTATTATAGCCACCTAAAAGATGATAAAATAATTCAAATTAATGTGTGATATTAAGTCATGAACCAGACAAATGAAGATATATAATCTAGAGAGAGGTATCTCTAATATAGACATCCTGGTGTTCATGAAATAAATTCATTGTTTACATAGCTAGGATAAAGGGTGTTTATTTGGAATCTTTGACCTTCTTATGCACAGCATCCCTCTGCCTCCCAGTGCTGCAGTGAGCAGCTTAGAACTCCACAATATAAAGCTCTGAGGAACATTGACCCCTCAGGGCAGAGACGTACATAACATCTGAAAAGTTTTGAAGTGCAATGGGATTGGAAATATTTCAGGAAGTAACATTATGAGCCATTGAACACCATTTACAATTCCTGTCATGCCCCAGAGCTGGAGGTCTTCAAAATCACTGCAGCTGCCAGGAGTGCATGCTCTTCAGCCAGGGAGCACTACAGAGACTGTAGTTTTGCTGCCCCCTCCCCTCGCTCCCAACAAGGCAAGAGGAGTGAAATGAACTGACAGAGTCACTCTGCAACCCCTATCCCCATTCTAGCTCCCCTCCCTGACTCAGAGAAGAGAGCAGGGAGCGGAGCCAATATCAGTGTGTGCTCTCCTGCCATTCACCTATGCTTTTCCTGAGCATCTCTTCCCCCACAGAACTGGGAAACCAGAGACCCTCCACCCCACCTCCTCCCCTACCTACAGGGGTGTGGAGTCATGAGGGTCTCATCATGGCAGCATCAGAGTCTGAGAGAACTGGGGTCTTTGTGGAGGATCCCAGGAACATCCTGAGTGCCAGGGTGCTGTCAGTGTGAGACAAAGTCTGAAATTTGGTGTTTGTGTGAACAATTACCTTTTTAGGTAAAAAAAACAACAACAACAACAAAAAAACAAAAAAAAGAAGTGAGATGTTTATACAAAAGAAAAAGCCTAAACTACTATAAATTAATAATTCAGGGGGTGCATGAAATGCTTTACTGTGCACTGCTGTTGTTGTTTGCCTACTGTTGATTCTTCCAGATCATGGTGCATGCATGAGAGGTCACCCAGACCTTTGGTGCATATGCCTAGGCAGAAGTTTTGGAGGAATGGAGGCATTCCCCTTTAGGCCACTGTGACAGAATCCAAAGGCAAGACTTGCCGCATCCAGACTAGCGAGCATCTGCCTGTTGTGGTATCACAAGGCAGTTTGAGATGCTGCAGGAGGCACGCTAGGAATGAGAAAATGTTCATTGTGCTGCATATTTGCAATGCAGACTCTAAATTTGATACTGGAAAATCCTGGTATCAAAAAAAAAACGCAGAAAAAAAGCAGCACGGGGAAAAAAGCAACTGGAGGTTGGGTCCTCCAGAGGTGCTGCTGTATAGCTGCCCCATGCCCCTGCAACTCCAGCATGCTGCCTCCAAATGGTGGAGCAAATAGGAGTGGGGCAAGGCTGGCAGCAGTGGCTCAGACCCAGATGCTTTATCTAGGAAGCAGGGACATGGAGGCAGGGAGGGACTGTGTGGTTTCTGGAGGTATGGGGGGGAGGGATGTGGGGGTAGTTGTGGGGTTTGTAGGGGGGATTGTGGGTGTGGGGTTTGTAGCGTGGCCACCACCCACCCCCTTGTCACAACCCAAAGGGTGTGATTTTTGTTTGTGTGTGCTTCGGCACTGCTAAATTGTT